GTATTTTCCATAGACAGCCCGGCGGTGGTTGCGGGCTTTGAATAAGGCTGGGAGCTTTTTTCACTCTTCTTATAAAACTCTTCTAATAAGGGTCGCCCACGGGGCTTTGTTCGGTTTTTTTTGTTTCGGTTTCGATGACTGCTGTTTTAGTTTTGTTATGGACCTACAGGCAATGTTGACAGCTAGTGCTCTGAGAAGACAAGGAAAATCGGCTCCTTGTAGCCTCGAAAACACGACGAAGAGGAACCGAATCTTATTCAGAGCACAGTCAACAACACATTAGCATCCTGATAATCTCTTGACCGTTCAAGTGGCTGTCCCATACCATTCCTGACGTTGAGAAAGATAAGTCCTTCTGAACATACAGATCAATATGAAGGAAGTCATCTCTTACCTATGCAGCGTTGTATAAGGGTGGAAAGCTAAGGCAAATATTCCCCTCGAATACCAACATCCGTGGCAAAGCGGCCTTTCCAATCGATATCGAGAATGGGATACTACTCCTTGCTGTAAAGAGCTTCTTCGCTTTCAGCTGCATGCAATACTAGTACACGCCTATTGTCGGACTTGAGGTAAGGAATCAACATGCAAAACGCCCAGCATGTGTGCCCCCAGGGTGAGAAAAGCTCGAATTGATGGCATCATACATAAGGCAGATATCGAGGAAAAAAAAAAAAAAAAAAAAAAAAAAAAGTCGAGGTCTTTGGTATCTCTAGCTCCAGGGATCGACTTTCTTGCCCTTTGTGAGCCACAAGACTCGGACTCATAGCATCTGCATCAAGGCGAACACGGCTGGGCTTCATACTACCCTTATGGCGGATACGAGATCGCTTTTAGGCTTCTGGGCTCGTTAATTTTTTGATAATCCTATTTCTCCGCTCCCCCGGACTGTCTGTGAGGCTGCCAGAAGCATGTAGAATTATTCCTGGCCTCGGTGATACTTGGGACGAGCTCACTGGTGACATCGATGAAGAGGAAATTAGCACAGAGCGGCGTTTAGTACACGATGCTGGACTGGTCAGCATCTTTAAGATGCAATATAACATATTAAAAAGTCATATGTCACATCTAGATTGTGTTTATGGACGAGATATCAGCTAAAGACCGGAATTGAGAATATGCGACCGTTTTAGGTGTGTAACCATGGGTCCTCGTTCTAGAGAGCAATAGAAGATTAACCTATCTTCCTTCTTTCCTCCAAAGCTAAAAAGTAATGTAATAGTCCGAAGAAAGAGCAGTATATGCGCTTCCTAACAAAAACTACAACGCAGCAGTTGCATCGAGTATCTGAAGTTCAACTGAGTCCATCCCCAATATGTCCATATCCTGTGGGTCAGTTGTTGATGGAAATCATGGAATATGATTGGACACATCACGTGGTGATCTAATTTTAGAGCCGTCGTCCTGCAACACCGTGCATTAGTGCCTTCTAGAGCCATCCAGTCGACCCATGCATTAGTGGCATGTTTTAGAGCCATTGTCCTGCAACGTAGTGCATTAGCGCCTTATTTAGAGCGACTGTCCTGCGACTGTGTGCATTAGTGTCTGTTTTAGAGCCATCGTCCTGCAACACCGTGCATGAGTTCCAATTATAGAGCCATTCTATATGCAGACTTGTGCATGAGTGCAGCCTTTAGAGCCATCAACCTGCAACACCGTGCATGAGTTACAGTTCTAGAACCATTCTATATGCAGTCTTGTGTATGGGTGCAGCTTTTAGAACCATCAACCTGCAAGACGGTGCATTAGCTTCATTTTTAGAGCACTCAACCTGCAACACCGTGCATTAGTGCCATATTTAGAGCAATTGCCCTGCAACACTGTGCATTAGCTTCATATTTAGAGCCATCAACCTGCACCACCGTGCATTAGCGCCGTCTCTACGATGGTCTGTGCTGAGGCTGACATGCATATTCGTGAAATTCCGTGCTACCCTATACAAGGTATGATTGGCTACTAGCCCAATGTTGCTCCACATCTTCATGCACAGTCCTGCATGAAGATGCAATATGGCCTGTGCAGTGCCCATGTGTGGAGTGGTTTGGATGTGATTGGTCTGTTGGGTCAAGCCACCTGCACGGGCGTGCATGATTACTATGGCGTTGTTTTGCTGTAGCTGGTGGTCCGTGCGTTGTAGGGATGATTCTTTGCTACTCCGTGGTGGGCTTGAAATAGATAATGTTTGAGAGTTTATGATTCGTGCTATATAATCAAAGTCCAATCAATGTCGAGTACATACGACCATAGGGTGTGGAAAACAGGGCTTCCCGTCCGCTCAGCCGTACTTAAGCCACACGCCGGGAGGTTAGTAGTTGGGTGGGTGACCACCAGCGAATCCCTTCTGTTGTATGTATTTTGCTTTTTATCTTTATCTCCTTGTCAGACAGAATGAATGCTTCATATTTGTTATTTTTCAGTTTTTTTTTATTACCTCAATGTTGAGTGATGATGGGTTGGATACTCGGAAGTCTTCGTTGTGGGAGGGATAGTGATGGAGTCCGTCAATACGGTGTACCCTAAACACAGTATATGATGTAGGGTATTTCTGAGGTTAAGTAGTATGATCATCATGTCCATTGATCCTCTCATATCTTTGCCTGCTAATATTTGTATAGTTTCTCGCGGCATTAATATACACATATACGTAGTGTATTCTGTCAGTCACTTGATATGTCTTAAATCAGCTAACAAGAAACAATGAATTGCACCGTCCACACATGAGTTACTTCAGAGATAGTATAAACCCGAAATCCATAATGATAACATCACAACATTGAACAGACGAAAGCAACACAACTAGATAGTAGAACCAACAGCATCACCATCACAAATAACTTATAGTCACTCACTCAATGGCACTAAACCACCACAGACGCCCTCCCCTTAACCCCCCCAACATCCTTCGTCTTAAACCTCGCCAACAATCCCGCTAGCGCATCCCGTCTTTCATTCATGCTCGCCAACTTCCCTCTCTGAATCTTCCCACTAACAGTCCGCGGGATTCTCTCAACGAAGAACACACCCCCATCCAACGCCTTGTACGCCGCCAACCGCTGACGCGCAAAATCATACACCTCATCGGAACTAACTCTAGCACCAGGGGCTCTAGCTCGGACGACGTATGCACGAGGAGCCTCCGAGCTTCCATCGGGCAGACAGGTGCCGATGACTGCGACGTCCGCGATGAGCGGGTGCTGGAGCAGCACGGCTTCGATTTCGGCGGGGCAGACTTGGTATCTATTTCCAGAATTGTATGCGTTAGTTAACGGAATCGTATGACAATAGGGCATGGCAGGGAATGAACGTACCCCCGCACTTTAATTAACTCTTTTGTTCTGCCCACGATGAAATACTCTCCATTCTTGACGTAGGCCACATCGCCCGTATCAAACCACCCTTCAGCATCAACCATGGACTCATTACGTCCCAAGTATCCCGTGAACAGACCAGGTCCTCTCACATACAGCTGTCCTGGGACTTCATCGTCCTTGACCACTTCAGCACCAGACACAAGTCTTGCCTCACACCCCGCAGTGATAGGTCCAATACTTCCCAAGTCACCCTGTCCTGATCTGCCATTGGCAGGGTAGCGTTGTTGAAAGACCACCCCACACTCCGTCATACCCCAGACTTGTCCTGCACAGGCATCCGGATGCAACAAGTCCTGGAAGGCAGACATAGAGGTACGATCGATAGGCGCTCCAGCAACGCCGATGTATCGGAGGGAGAAGAGGCGGGTTTTGACATCCTGAGTGGCAGGTGCTTGGTTGAACATGTGCACCATGGCAGGGACGAGGTAGGTTTCGGTGATTTGGTATTCGTGGACAGTGGACAGGAAGAGAGGGAACTGAAAATCACGCAGGAGGTAGAGAGGTTCGCCGTAGCGAATGGGGAAGAGGTGTGTCCAGAGGGAGCTGAAGAGATGGAAGATAGGGAGGGAGATGAGACGTGTCACAGGGTAAGGAGAGGAATGGGCGATGGAGGCGTGCTGGGCTATCAGGGAGCCGTGGGAGAGCACGGCAGCTTTGGGAAGGCCGGTGGTGCCGCTGGTGGAGTAGAGGGCTGCTGGGGTGGAGGCTGCGGTTGCTGCGTCGGGAATGGGGAGGGGAGGGGAGGTGCCGTGCGACAGAAGGGTAAGGAGGGTGGTTTTGTCTGTGGCCTGAGGAGGAGGTACGGATGGGTCGTGGACGAAACGGATGGTCTCGGTGATGGTGGTATCGTCCAGAAGGAGAATGTGGTCGTTAGCCAACTCATGCTTGTTAGCAATAGTATGCACTGTTGAGGACCCTTCTGGCTCGGTGATGATCCACTTGGGATGGGTTAGGGAGACGGTGTGATTGAGCTCTTGCAGTTGACTGTGTGGATTGGAACCCATATAAACGCCACCTGTGCCGATGATGGCCAGGAACAGGGCCGTGTAGAGAACCTAAAGATGGGTAGAAAAGAAAAGGTGAGCCAAGAGGGTTGTGTAGTGGTGTAGGACAGACGTACATTGTTCCCCGTATGGAGTAAGACGCAATCACCACGACCCAGGCCATGGGCCTTTAGCCCGGCAATTAGAGTGTGCACCAAGAGCTTGAACTGGGTGGCGTTGAGAGAGCGAGAGGGCTTTTGGGGATCGATGAACAAGGGCTTGCAAGGGTCGTACTCTACCTGGGCATCCAGGGAGTAGGTGACTACGTCATAAGAGCGAGAGGAGTCCATCGTCCGAGTGCAGTAAGCTGGAAGCAGGAAGGGTTGGGCGAGAAGAGAAGAGAGATGCTGGAACAGACGTCTGAGGGGAGCCAGGGCCTCTTATACCCTTCCCTTAAGGAGGAAGCTGGCGGCCTACGGAGTCGACGGAGAAACTCGTCGGCACTGGGTGCCTTCTACAAATTAGATTCACAGTGACTGAAAATCCCAGCACGTGAATCGGGATGACCTTCCCGATATCAGGAGCTGAATTGACTGAGACTCGCGAACAGCTAGCTTGCTAGCTAGGTCACACATCTTATATCTACTTATGCCTGCACCTGCGGCAGCAGTGCTGGGTCCAGCTGTCCAGCCGCATCTTGCGCCAGGGCATCGATAGACAACCCTCCTAGCAGCTTTAGCACCGGCATATCCACTCCTAACTCTTTGACGAACCAGACCCGCAGATCGACCGCGATGAGTGAATCTATGCCGAAATCAGATAACAAGGCTGCCCCAGGTAGCTCGGAATCTCGAGGCAGTTGTAGCTTGCGCTCAAGTTTTCTAGAGAAGCCCGCAGCAATGATCTCGGCCGCTTCGGTTAAGCTACTTGCCGACTGCAGCTGCGCCTTGATGGGGATTTGCTCCTGCTTACCGTCCCGAGCCTGCGACTGTCGAGAATACTGAATGTAGGACCAGAGGCTAGGGTTTTTGAACCATATCACGTCGGGATATTCTGCAGGGTCAGTCATAGCAAGACCGCAGATAATAGCCGGATCCCGGTCAGAGTCAGGCCGACCGGCCAGAATCGCCTCTGCAAACAATTCCAACAGGTCACGTTCGGATAATATCGATTTTCCAACAGTTTTTGCAAGGTGTTCTCTAGTCTGTGTTCCCATGCGAGCAACATAGCCAATGCCGCGCACTTCAGCTGGAAAGACAATGCTGCCGACCTGGCCACGGAGCCGTCGCTGAAGCACGAGATCCTCCATGTAAACCGCTGTTGCGGCATACATAGACTGGTTGAAGTTACCGGCTATACCGGTATACGAACCCATCAAGATGAAGAAGTCTAAATTTTCACCGTGATAGAGTTCATCCAATATCTGACTGCCCTTCACTTTGGGCCCCAGGACAGTGGCCACATCTTCCAGCGATGCTTTATCAAAAGCGACATCCCGGAGGACCATTGCGCCGTTTACAACACCCCCAACTGGTGGGAGCTCTGTCATGATGTAGTTGTGTACATGTAAAACAGAGGCACGGTCCGATACGTCCCTAAAATTGTCAATAAGTATGTATGCTGCTGAACAAAAGAAGGATCAGACTAACATGGCCTTGACGACGACGTGGGCCCCAAGGGCCGTCATCTCTTCGACCCAGCAAGGATCGATGTTAGGATTTCGACTGGTTAAAACCAAGTAACGGGCTCCACGGCTAATCATCCAGTGGCACACCGATCGCCCAAGATCACCCGTCATACCAACTAGCAAATAGGTCTTGTGGGAGTTCAAGTTTACTAAAGAGCTAGCAGATAAGGGGTATGCCAACACAGGCCCTGAATTCAGCCAGTCAACGATGATGGAGTGGCCACTGCCTAGGGAGTAAGAGGGAATGTCCTCTGGATTGATCGTGACAACAGTCGACCGCAAGGAGGTTTGTTGTTCCGCAAAAATGCAGGATGCTGCCAGGATATTTGTGCAGAAGCCCCCTTCGCCCTCTGGCCCTGAGACTGGCAAGCCGCCGTAGAGTGCGGACAAGCTATAGGTCGCCACTGCAGGAGACAACGCCGACCTAATTCGGGCAATGGTAGTGTCTGATTCAGACCTCAAACTGGCGAAAACCGAAACCCCAGCAGGTAACAGGCGCGAGATTGCACGTGATGAGCTACGGGGTGGAATGACAAGCGTGGTTGAACGCTTTCGGGCGACCTCGGTGCTTGTGATATACCGTACTCTGACACCTTTCATGGAGGCCATTGCAGCCACCGATTCTTGAAGAGATGCGGTAGCTCCGTCCAGAAGCAGAACAGTGTTGGATGGGGTTTTGCTAACCAGATCACGGGCAACCAGGGCCGTAGCAACTTCGCTTAAGTATGCAGCTTCGTCTTGTTCTGGGAGCCAGCTGGGAGCGTTCCAACACCAGGATGCTGGAGTGGAAACGACCGAGGCGTGGTTAATAGACAACCCCACAACTCGTGTGCGTGTCTTCTGGTCTTGTCCTAAAACTAGGTACGCAAAGCCAACAGACTCCACGTAAACCGTGGAAATAGTGGCATAGTGGACCCGAATGTAGACAATGTCTTTATTATGCACATGGACCATCTGGCCTGGCAGTGTCTTTTGGGGTAATGAGACCAGGGCGGCTTCCGTGTTATCAGAAACGACATTCACAGGCGTCAATTTGGGTTCCACATGCTCTCTACTGGCAAAGCCACGACTAGTAAGAAGTCGTCGGTTCATCGTGGGACTAGCCTTCAGCCTAGGGATCATCATCATGTCGTCTTCGAATCGAAGTTCCCATTCCGGATTCTCGGTACAGTCAGCGAGGCTATAGTCATTATAGGCTTCCGTATGAACAAGCCGCATGAGTGCTGTAGCTATGATATTGGGTTCAACCGTTTCCCAGTCATCGACAGTGAGGTGCTGGAGTAGGGCATGTGGAATCTCGTAAGACAAACAGCGTAAAATTCCTTTAGTCATGGCCTGATAGGGGTTTTCGCCGGGCTTGCCAGCCGCAACCCAGAGAAGCTTCCCAGCAGCCCCAAACAGCGCCTGTAGGCTGTGCAGACGGTTCGCAGAAAAATCTTGCAAGCAAGGGGTGTCTATGTCGGACAAAACCAAAACGGACAATAAAGATGCATTGGGTGGAGGGACGAAGTCTTCAAGCGTGGCCGAATGGCTGATACGAGCGAAAAAGGGTGCCACGAGATCCTGGACCCCAGCGAGTAGACGTTCTGTGCGTGGAGAGGCACCCCCAAGTAGGACAAGATCTGGGTATTGTCCCGTGGCGGGCACCAAAAGCGGTTTCTGCAACTTCAAAATGTGATCATCCACGGCCTGGGAGCTAAAGACCGAAAGTCCCACCTGTTCTCTGACTTCTGGAGAAGAACATGTTTCCACCCCCCCAAAGCCCGCGTTTCGGAGCACCTCGTCCCAGGTATCAATGGAGACCATAGGTCCCCAGGGGCGACCGTCGTTTTCTCCTAACCACCATCCTTCAAACCCGCCAAAAATGGTCGAAATGACAACATCTTCAGGGTCAATAAGCTCGAGCACAACAACCCTTCCGCCGGGCTTCAGTAAGCGTCGTACATGGGTCATGGTTTTAGTTAAGGAACGGGTAGCGTGCAGTACGTTGCTCGCGATGACCAGATCATACGCATGCTCGGCAAAATCCTGTTCTGTTGGATCCCGCTCTAGATCCAAGACTTGGTATATGAAGCGATCATTGTGCGTTTCAAAAGCGCTTTGGGCTTCTTCGAAGAAGGCCGCAGAGACGTCGGTATAGGTGTACGAATGATAGTCTCGTCCAATTTGGTCGAGCACCTCCCGTGTCGCTGAGCCTGTCCCAGCCCCAACTTCAAGAATCTTCATGCGAGGGTACCGGAAGGACAATTGACTTACGACACCAGCGAGACTGCAAGTCATCATCCGAAACCAGAAGTCTTGATAGAATCGAGTGAGGAGATCGTCGCGGCGTAGCTCTTCCATAATGCTGACTTGGCCACGCAGCCACCCTATGAGTTTCGGACCCGCAACCTCCAAGGTTTCCAAGTGGTTTTTGATCGCATGTTTCAGATCTTCTGAGACCACAGAGATGTAATCATCCCGGAGCCATTCTGCAGGATAATTGGGATGGTTGCCAGCCTGCACCCTGGACAACATCATATCCATCCAGGCTACATAGCGGCCTCGGTGCCAATCCAGCTGTTGACGATCTTCATATGTCAGCTGTTGTTGCGTGTCCCTCAAGTAAAGCAGAGCCACGCGGTTGACCTCGAGATAACAGCCAGGGAGACTAGGGGGCCTGGAGAGCATTGCGTTTGGCAGCAAAGGACCCCATTTACGTTCTGCGAATGCCCTGATATCGTCCATACTGGGCTGGGCAAGGGGAGATATTTCAACACCCTCTATTTGGACTAGACCATGACCTTCACTGTCGAACAGATCGATATCGCCGCGTATGCCTGAGTTATCAGTCCAGGACACTGTGGCCGCTACTTCATAGGGGCCACGGAGAGTTTGCCCGCTGCTGACGCGGTAGAGCGAAGGGTTAATTATTGTGCTTGCGATTCTAGTGGGGAGATACAAGCCAGATAATTGGCCGTCGTTAGGATCTCCCATGGCCGCCATTATGGCCTGGAGGCCAGTGTCTAACGTAGCAGGATGGATCAGAAGCGCTGAACCTACGTCGAGAATCGGTAATTTGGCATTTGCGACGTCCTTCCGACGCCAGATGTCTTGAAGGGTGCGAAAAATACCCGAGTAGCCATACCCCAGGCCATCTAGTTGCTGGTAGAACTCGTCTGAATCCACAGGGCGCAATCCCGGGGGTGTCGGACCCAATGATGGCAAGAGCGTTGCATCTGGCTCGCCAAAAGTTATCTCCAGGCGACCGGATGCACAGCAATGGAAGGAATCATCATCGAGACTCGATTGGCAGGTAAATACACCAGCTATTTTGTGGTCATTTCCATCTGTCCGATAGAAAGTAAACAGAGTCTCGACGCCGGAGGAATTATCAGGTACGGTAATCGCGCGATCAATGGTAAGTTCACGTATCTCGACGAGTTGAAGCAGCCGTTCATCTGCAACAAAACGGGCCGCCTCTAGAGCCATAACGAGATATCCTGTAGCGGGAAATACAACTTGGGATTGTACTTGGTGCCCGTCCATCCATTCCAAGTCCTGCACTCGCAAGAAGTTACGCCAGCGCCACTCTGCATCGCCAGTTTCAGGGGTAAGGGCGCCAAGGAGGGGGTGGATGGGGTGTCGACGGTTGATGCGCGCACTAGATAGACGTGGGACGGCCCAGTACCTTTGACTGTGGTCAAATGGATAGGTGGGAAGATCAGTTAGATAGTTAAACTTCATAGACGGCGAAAAGAGCCGGATGTATGAGACGACATCCAGAGTTTGACCTCCTAGACTTGCCCAGAAAGAGCCCACCGCCAGTGCTAAAGCTTCGATACCACCAGACTTGCGATTAGAAATTCCGACGTAAGGGACATCGGCTTCGTCAGGTTTGATGGTCGACAAGGTTTGCATGGTGGGCCCCTGAAGAGCAGCATGGGGTCCCACCTCAACGATAGCATCTATTCCCGGAAGTTCTGTCATGGCAGCTGTCAATGCCTGAGAGAAAAGTACAGGGCGAAGCATATTGTCGCTCCAGTACTGGATGTCAAGATTCTGCATAACTTGACCCTCGAAGACACTGGAAAACCACTTGGTGCCAGATGAGCCTTTGCGTCCCTGGACCTGGCACTGTCTCATTGATCGAACATATGGATCAGCACATGGTATCATATGACTAGAGTGATAAGCCGTATCGACACGCAAACGCCGCGAAGAATAGCCGAGACTCTCTATGACCCACTCCATCTCAGTGATCAACTCACTGTCGCCTGAGAAAGTCACACTGGTAGGAGAATTGAAGGCAGCCACGACAATTGTACCAGAATGGGCCGCTTCGCTACACATTGCATCCGCCTGATCCCATGGTGTACTAACTGCTAGCATAGCACCAGACTTCCCCTGAGAGCCAGCGTACTGTGCTGCGACTCCTCGCAAATAGGCGACCCGAATGGCATCTCTTAGAGTCAGCCAACCTGCTGCATAGGCTGCACCAATTTCACCAGAGGAATGGCCAACAACAGCCGCAAATTCTATCCCAAGTGAGCGCAGGATATTAACCTGGATGATTTGCAGTGCTGTACGCAGCGGTAGCGAGATTGCTGCTGAGTTGAGCCGAGATGTCTCCTCGGGAGCGGACAATTCATCCAAAAGAGTGAACGCCGGTCTGTACTCCGCTGGAAGAGTATCCAGGGCCTGCTGCATCTCTTCCATCCAAATCTGAGACTGTGGGCATTGAGAGATAACATCTAAGCCCATCTGTGGCCATTGTGCGCCTTGACCCGTGAAAACACCCAATATTCTTTTTGGCCCAGGGGTGAGCCGTCGTGTGATAGTTGACGATGTGTCAGCAGATCGTCGTTGCAGTTCATCATTTAGGGACCCCCGCAGGCTTTCAATTGTGCCCGCAGTAAGAATTAAGCGGTGACTCAAGGTGGATCGTTTCTTTAGAAGGGAAGCGGCTAGTTCCAGTAGGTTTACTGTAGGGCGCTCCTCCAAATAACTGACATAATTTCGTAGGACCGCAGTGAGCGAGATTTCAGATGCTGCTGAGAATACAAACGGAAGAATTGTTGGTGTTACAGGCTCACAGTCTGATGAAGATGATGGAGGTCTGTCAAAGCTCTCCAGAACGACGTGCGCATTGGTGCCCCCAAATCCAAATGAGTTGACCGACACCCGTCGTGGAGACCCGGATGGAAGGTCTGGCCAGGGAAGAGCTTGAGTCGGGAATTGGAGATGGGAGGTATATGGAGCCACTAGGGGGTTGAGTCTGTTAAACGGCAGGTTGGGTGGTATGACACCATGCTGGATGGCTAGTGATGCTTTGAGAACCCCAGCAATTCCTGCCGTGCCTTCTGCATGGCCTGTGACGCTTTTAATGGAGCCCACGTAGATGACATCATCGGGATTGGAGCCATCGTCGAAAAACGCAGAGGAAATACCAAATGCCTCTTGAGGATCACCCGCTTGTGTTCCTGTCCCATGGGCTTCGAAAAATTGGCAACGGTCTTCTCGGCGAAGGGGATTGAGACCAGCGCGCGCATATGTTGAGCGAATAAGCTCCCGCTGTGCCTCACCATTAGGCAAGGTCAGTGCTTCGGTATGACCGTCCGAATTTACACCAGTAGAGCGAATGACACATTCAATGGGATCAGCATCAGCAACTGCATCCTGGAGACGCTTCAATACGAGCGCGGCCACCCCTTCGCCTCGGGCATAGCCATCGCCCTGGGCATCCCACATATGACAGCGCCCTGTAGGTGACATCATATGCATCTGGGACTCCCCAATAAAGGGATCTGGGGATAGAATCAGGTTGCTACCCACGACAACAGCGAGTGAGCAGTCCCCATTGCGTAATGCCTCCGCCGCCAGGTGGAGTGCTACTAAGCTCGAGGAGCAGGCCGTATCCAGAACAAATGAGGGTCCATGCCAATCGAAAAAGTAAGAGATTCTATTGGCAAGGATCGAGGCTGTTGTACCAGTGACTGAAAAAGGGCGTAGCATATTTAGGTCTGCGTTGATCAGGGATTGGTAGTCGTTGCTCATGGAGCCACAGTAAACTCCCGTATATGAACCCTGCAAGTGCTGCAGCGGAAGCCCGGACCTTTCGAGAGCTTCGTATACTACTTCCATGAGCAATCGTTGCTGAGGATCCATTGACGCGGCCTCCGCGGGCGAGACCTTGAAAAAAGGGGCATCAAATGCCCGAATATCCTCCTGGAGAAAGTAGGCCTCGGGAGCAACCATCATGCCGGGCCGGGCCTTGCCAGCTTGGTAGAAGGCGTCTGAATTGAAGCGGTCAGGAGGGGGCTTAGAGGCGACATCGCGCGGATTCTCCAGTAGTTCCCAGAGTCGAGAGGGCGAGGAGGCCGATCCTGGGAATCGGCAGCCTGTGCCGATGATGGCGATTGGTTCTGTTTGTGTCATCGGGACGAGTTGAAAGATCGGGTTTTCAATTTGAAGGGGAAGATAGTCTAAAACAACGAATGTCGTTCACAAATCTGATAGGAATCTGAGGCCTTCGGTGGCTTTGCACTATATAAGGGCAAAGGCTGTGATGGTGTTTAGCATGTTAGGAAGGTGGATCATGATCGAATGATGAATAATGACTTGCGATTAGGAAAGACAAACAAGGAGTACGTCTACAATGGCTTCACTTCCCCATTACGCACTTTAACTTTCTTGCTTTGCTTTTTTGGTTCGACCGCTCATAGAACTTCCGGTGTGTATCTATCTTCAATCCCGGAGAGCATCGCATTAACTTCTCGGCCTTGAGCAAGACCGAGACCAGACCCCGCACGCAGCTCTACATTATCTGATGCCCGGTGTGTTAGTGCTGACGTTGGTGTTAATCGATATGAGCTATTCTCTTGGAGAAGGAGTGGGGACGGGTGGGGAGTTGTTTGGTGAAGCCACAAACCATCCGATAGACGGACTCTCGGCTCCATGATCGACGGCGAAACGATTTTCCATCATATGATCGTCTTGTTCGAGCTTTTCCTTTCTTCCTTATATTTTATTTTTCTTTTCATTGAAGTTGCATAAATCAGGGACTGCTCTGGGCACTGACGCCCCCAAAAATCCATTCCGGATTGACGACAGCACACTGAGCAGACTCTCTGACGAGCGAGAGGCCTCGAAAATCCAATATGCCGGGCGGCTGGGAAATTTACTCGAGCGTTACGCTCACTATCTATGATATTATCGTTCACTGGTGGAACGACAATTATGTGTGGCGATGTCCCTTGCCAGTTCTTAGTTCCTTCTTTGCGGCAAACGTTGGACCTCGCCATATGGACATTGGTGTCGGTACCGGGCTTTTCCCTGTACAGCATCGCGAGCAGATGCGGCAGCGACACCAAGAATGGCCTCAGCACTTGGTTCTTGTCGACATGAACCCTTCGTGTCTCCAAAAATCTGCTGAACGTATCGACTGTCCGAGCAAGACTGAATGTGTGCAGGCTAGTGTTTTCGAGCCATTCACCGTTCCAGCCGGACAAGGATCCCTTGGTACATCATCCAAATTTGACTCCATATCTATGATGTACCTGCTGCATTGTCTACCTCCGCCAACCGATCACAAGGCGACTGTGTTTGCGCACCTGAAACGCCACTTGACTCCGGAAGGGACTCTGTTTGGTGCCACTATCTTAGGTTATGGCGCACAGCATAATCTGCTCGGGCGTCTGACCATGCGCTTCTACAACTGGAAAGGCATATTTGGAAATACGGATGATAACCCGGAGGTATTTGTCAAGGCATTGGAAAATGAATTTGAGGAGGTCGAGACCCATATTGTAGGAGTGGTGCTGCTCTTTCGGGCTCGCAAACCCCGGTTGGCCTGAGCCACTTGAATGTAGGGCTTCGAGGTGCCTCACGTGTTTTACATCGAGGGGTTGTTACAATCAGAGGAAGACGTACATACTGTTACACGTTGATTCCTATCCAACCAGGCTTGACTGGTGCCCTGGACATTCGAGGATGTCTTGTTTTGTTACTCCAACAATTTTGTATCCATAAGATTCCGATTGGGTCCGAATCTCTGTGCAACATTAGACAATATTTATTAGCGTCGTCCAATGAAATTCAGTGTCTCGAGCTTGCTGAAACCTTCTTTGCGAGTAGAATTGGGCAAAAGGTAGACGATCAGACGGTGTACAAGCTCAAATTCTTCAGGCTGGCTCGCAGGGCCCCGGACAGGGATCCATTCAAAATCGGAATTGCCAATCTTGGATGGGGCCTGGGCTCGGAGCCCGTGAAGAGACGAATAGAGCGGCTCGGAGAAGCGGGTCGCCGATCTTTCTCCAATGTGCCGATCCCTCGGGTTCGTATCTTCTGCAAGATTGCGAGCTAAAACTCAATAAAGACTGGGGCAACAGAGCAACCGGTTACGGAGTTATTATTTCCGACGCTGATGCTGGCAAGCAGAGCTAGTATGCGCATGGATGCCGTCATGACGAGGGGGCGATAAGAAGGCCAGGCTTTGCTACCGGTATACAACTACAAGCCAGCAAAATACCTAGTCTGTCGGCCGACATGGAAGAGAACCCGTGCAAGATCCAGTCAGGATCGGGAACAAACGAATTGTCCACTCCTTTGATACTTTTTCATGATGCAGGCGGCACTGTGTTCCCGTATTTTTGCTTGGGTGAGCTGCATCGGCCGCTTTACGGCATTGGCAACACTCATTTCGATCACGGAGGCAAATGGGACCATGGCATTCGTCAAATGGGAGTTGTTTATTCACACTTACTTCGGTCGGTCATCGGGTCCGGGGAAGTCATCCTGGGAGGTATGATGAAATGTTAGCGCTAACGCGGAATCTCTGGCACTAACAATGAATTGCTTTTTGCACAAAGGATGGTCTCTCGGCGGCTGTGTTGCTTTGGAAGTTGCATCTCGACTAATGAAACTTCCCCAGTACACGGTGCAGGGTGTCATCATGATCGACAGTGTCTTTCCGATTGCCAAGGTCACGGACAAGTATCCCCGCACGATCGCTGATGTTGCTGCCAGCTTCCAGCTACCGGCCCGAATGTCCGATGCCCGGCGGGTACAAGCGCAGCAATGCATTCTGCACGCTCACGAGATGCAGCGTGACTGGAGACCGCCACAATTTTCGTCAGGTCCGCCTCCTGCAATACTCATACGCGCAGCCGATCCGGTACATCTTGACCCCGAAGGGGAGCCCCACTACATCGATCTCATTCGGGACTGGACGTACCTGGGATGGGAGGAGTACGATACGAGCTTCATCAAAGCTTGCTTGGAGATCCCAGGCAACCATTTTACCATATTTGATGATCAACATGTCTGACTCCCTTTGGCATTTGTCATGACCTTGCTGATGATGCTGCAGTGTCACCAAACAACGGCCAAAATCGGGGAAGCTTGCGCAATGTTGACCCGACCGCAACAGCCAAATCCCGAATGATCGACAGTGCATCAATCTAGATGCAGGGATTCATCAAGAGCATAAGACAATCGAGATCGAGTCGATCTGCGTTATTGCATCTTGATAGGTCATTTTCTAGGAACGAGGCGTAGCTGTTCGACTGGATGTTGTTGGAATTCTGGCTCTGTAGATAGCAATGCTGGCAACGGAGCTGAACCGGGCGGGCCTGAGGACACGAGCCGGGTTGATTTCTTATTCCGAGACACGCTTTTGCATACCGATAGACTATTGATGCATCCATCCATTTGAATATTTTCACAGCGAACTGCATTCTCTCTCAGCTGGTGGCGATTACACAGGTCATGCGGTACTTAATTAGTAGCTGCCGAGAATTCCTCGCCGAAACGAGCACCTCGTGCTTGCCGTCAAATGCCGATAAGGACCGCCAGGGATAGAACAAGGCATATATATAGAATTTTTAGGGATTAAGCCCGAGCCACAGTGAAGATTGCATATCCAAATTCGTTAAACACAACAATATACCCACCATGCTTGATAAACACATACCTGATGGTCACTTAGAGACAACAAGTGCCCACTGGAGGGATTTGAATCAAATTGTTCAGAATGGAGAACTCAGCATCGACGGCTATAGCCTTAGTCTTTCTGATGTTGTCGCCGTAGCAAAGTCAGCCAATATCCCCTTCAAATAACATCTACTCACACGAATTGAGCCTAACATTTGAGATAGATACGGCTGCCAGCCTCGACTTACCGAAAAGCCTGAGACGATCGATGCTATTAATGGGAGTGTGGTAGCACTAGCCGAATGCCTTCGAGATGGGCATCATATTTACGGTAGGTCGAGGCTTCGAATGAACTTTTAGATCGTATTACAATTGACCAACGATCTATCAGGCGTCAATACTGGATTTGGCGGGAGTGCTGACTCACGGACGAACCAGACGACCACTTTGCAGAGCTCTCTCCTCCAGCTACTCCAAAGCGGCATTCTCACCACATCTGATACTACCAATGAAGGCCTACAACACAATTTCCAAGAGCAAAGCTCCCACTCCATGCCTTCCGAATGGGTCAAGGCGACTATGCTTGTGAGAAGCAATTCAGTTGCCCGGGGCCATTCAGCCGTGTCACTGCCCGCAATTAGTGCAATCTTGCGGTTGATTCGTGAGGATGTCATCCCTGTAATTCCTCTTCGAGGAACTATTTCCGCATCAGGGGATCTCATGCCGCTCGCATACGTTGTTGGGGCGATTGAAGGGAGTCCCGGGATCTATGTGCGTGTCAAGGACGGATCGGAGCATCATGTTGTCACGGCTCAGAAGGCACTGCAGACAATTGGTGCTAAGGGAGTCACATTGGGACCCAAAGAGGGCCTTGGTTTGGTGAACGGCACAGCCGCTTCAGGTGCTCTTGCCGGCTTAGTGCTTTATGAGGCGCATCAGCTGGCCGTACTTGCGCAGGCAGTTACTGCTCTTACAGTTGAGGCCATACAAGGGAGCACAGAAAGTTTTCATCCTTTTATCGCTCGGGTGCGTCCGCATCAAGGCCAGATTGAAGCCTCGGAAAACATTTTGTCCCTGCTGAAAGGCTCTCTACTTGCCAGGGGAAGTAGTACCACACAAACTAGGACGGGGCTTGTCCAAGATCGTTATTCTCTCCGAACAGCCAGTCAATGGATTGGACCCCAACTGGAGGATCTTCTTCTCGCGGATCGGCAAGTCCAGGTCGAACTTAATTCAACGTCGGATAACCCGCTTATTGATACGGGCTCGAAGACCTTTTACACGGGAGGTAACTTCCAAGCAACTTCGATTACTTCAGCAATGGAGAAGACCCGACTTGCACTGCAAATGTTCGGAAAGATGTTGTTTGTTCAGTGCAACGAGATGATCGACCCTAACCTGAACAATGGTCTGCCCACAAACCTAGTCGCTGACGATCCCAGCCTTTCCTTCACTATGAAGGGGGTAGATATCAACATGGCGGCCTACATGTCTGAGTTAGCGTATCTCGCCAATCCAGTTAGCTCCCACGTTCAGACCGCAGAGATGCAGAACCAAGCGCTCAACTCACTGGCATTTGTTTCAGCACGGTATACCATGAAGGCGGTTGATATTGTGTCAATGATGGGAGCGTGTGCACTATACGTTGCTTGCCAAGCCCTCGACCTGCGTGTCCTGCAACTCCGCTTTTTTGAAAGACTCCAGGATACCGCCAAAGATATCGCAAACGGAGCTTTTGGGAAGGTGCTTGAGCCACATGAGGTCGACAAGGTAGCGGATCATCTTTCCCAAGCGTTCCAGAACTCTTGGCCATCGACTTCACGTCTCGACTTAACAGATCGCTGCGAGCGCGTGGGCGAGATGTTCGTCCCCGTGCTTTTTGGGGCTCTTATAGAGATTGTCCCACAGAATAGGCAGGATTCCGATCTATTTTCAGCAATTAATGCATGCAAGATGATGAGTGTCCTCAAGCTTGAAGCTGTTTATCGAGAGGTATTCGCCGAATTTTGCACTTTGCAACCAACAGCCGACTTCCTCGGAATAGGGACAAAGGAGATCTATACGGCCATTCGTCATGACCTTCGAATCCCGTTCCACCAGGGCCTCGTTGAACACCCCTCGGCGAGCCAAAACGATTTGCCAGAGACGATCAATGGTAGAGCCAAGAAGACTGTTGGGGGGTGGATATCAGTTGTATATGAAGCATTGCGAAACGATACGCTGAGTGGCACAATCCTAAATGCATTTCAGCAATAAACATCGGACAATACTGGCACAATGAAAGCGGGTAAAGCCCTTTCAACAAGGCTAAGGGACGACACCAGCCTCTGTCCGTACTCAAGGGTCACCCACATCCTGAGCATTCGAGCCAGCAAAGACTTATAGATCATAGGAGTCGCATGGAAAGTCTTAGATAGCCAATACAGGTATTTGAGAGAAATAGAATGAGCTTAGTGATTATAATCCCAAGGTGTGTAGTTGTCAAAAGTCATGAGATTAAGCGGGAATAAATGGAGATGGTCATGTGGTCATTACACACGTACCACGTGCTTTTCTGGCGGTTCCTGAAGAACCGCTACAGAACTTCCTATTCGTCCATATTCCGCAGTCACCGTTAAGATAAAGAAAACTGGTTTGATTGCGAATGTGTAGCTAGTGCAAAGCTACATCCAGGATGTAGACATTTAATGTCAACGAGTCCTTCCCAATGTATTCACAGTACTATCATTCAAACCTGCTACCCCACCTGGCCGATCTTCATAATGACGGTCAAGAGACGAAAGCTTCGCGTTTCTCCCAATTTTCGATGAACTGCTCCAGCAAATCTGCGTCAAGAGCAACATACTTGATGTCCGGTCGGTCTTGCAAGGCGCGTGTCGTGTTCGTCGGATCATACACAGGAGTATTTTTGCTTGTCTGCAGCCGGCTTAAACCCTCATAAACAGGCTCGTCAAGCAGGGGCATCATGGATTCTAATGCATTTCCTGGAAAGTCACGGATCTTCTCCACCCACTCCCTATAGTCCACCATCTTTAGGGGGTATCCGATATCGCGCAGCATCTTATACTTTTGATTGTGACCGATTGATAGGGATCTATCTGGTGGCACGATGTGATACGAGCGACCGAGATTTTCCCGACTGGAAGCAATATGCAGAATAGCCTCCGCAACATAGTCGACTGTCACATAATCCAAAAACTGGTCGGGAAGATAGGGAAAGCAACCGCACTGAATGCTGCCCATAATCAATCGGGAGAAATAGTCTTTCTCGTCGGCAAGGGCGCTTTTGCTGTGGCCAATGATAAACCCGGGTCTGTATATTGCAGTTGGCAGACCGCCAGCACGGGCTCGTCGAACGATCTGTTCGGCGACGAATTGGCTCGCCGCGTATCCAGTATCATATGGAAGTGCATTGAGGTGAGGATCTAGCGACTCATCCTCGTACACGCGGTCCACATTGTTGATGTATCCGGTGACAGTCCAGACGTCAATCGACGACACGTAATGAAGAGATTTGCGACGACCTAGCATTGCGGCCCGAATGACGTTCCGAGTACCTAGAATATTGGGCACATGGTGCGCCTCGTAAGGCTGGCACCAGTTAACCCGCGCACCAATGTGAAAGACAACGCTTGCCCAATTTATGAGCCATTTGAATTGTTTCTCCCCAAGCCCAAGAGTCGACTCTCCCATATCGCCGTGCAGGACCATGATCTTCTGGGTTATTTCCCGTCGATCGTCCCAGAGATTGTACTTCTCCAGCGTTTCTTTGACTCGAGTGCTGGCATCGACGGCATCCTTGCCGCGGGCAAGGCAAGCAACCCTGTGTACCGATGGCATGGATAGGAGCCCATGAAGTATATGTGCACCAAGGAATCCCGTAGCACCGGTGAGGAATACGCGACCTTCGCCCTTGGAACGCCAATCAGGGGGAAGGAGGTCAGACCCTAAGTTTTTGGAATCCTCCACGCAACGCTCTAGGCTGAATTGCGCGCTATTGCTATTTGAGCTGTTCATGGATTTTGCAAGTTGTTCCACCGTTGGATTTTGATGGAGTTGAGCCAGAGTGATGCTTTCTTTATAGTCCCGTTTGATCATACCGACGAGGCGAGCTGCTTGAAGAGAGGTGAGTCCTTGGGTGAAGAAGTCATCATTCATATTGATCTCCAAACCGGGGAGAAATTCCTGAAGTGTCGATAAAAGACATTGAGCTATGTCCTTCTTTCCCTCGCGATCATTAGTTCTTGTGGCCTTGGTTATATTGTTTTTGGGATGGCCTCCCTCCTTTCGGTGGCGTGGCTGCTCTGTGTCATTGTGTGGTTGAAGCGCCTTCTTATCAACCTTTCCATTATGGGATAAAGGAAGCCTGCGCTTCACGTATATCGTGCTCGGCAC